TTTCAATTTAAGTTTTCACAGTTGCACAAAAGTATAGGCTATGCATTTTAATTTTTTAAATCCATTTTAAAATTTTCATAATTGCAGGAAATTTTGGGAAGTCGGACAATGGGGAAAGGGGTACAGACAATAATTATTTAATGACAGTAGATATTGAGTTTCAAAAAGATAAAGCTTTGTAACTGTTAAAATACAAATTGTCAACTTCATATCAAAATATACAAAATAAATATCCTTAAATCAAACTCTAATAAGTTCTCAAGCAGCATTTTTCTTAATTTGCCTATCTGTAAATTTTTATTATTATTGATTATGCTATTTTGGTTTGTGTATACAGTGAAACAGATGTTTAATAAGAGGAAAAAATGGTCAGTTTTCAGAATGGAGAGTGGTGTCCCTCAGGGGTCTGTACTGGCACCAGTACTGTTCAACATATTCATAAATTATCTGGGAAATGGGGTAAACAGTGAGGTGTCAAAATTTGCAGATGATACAGAACACTCAAGATAGTTAAGTCCAAACCAAACTGCAAAGAGTTACAAAGGGATCTCACAAAACTGGGTAACTGGGCAACAAAATGGCAGATGAAAGTCAATGTTGATAAATACAAAATAAAACACATTGGAAAACATAATCCCAATTATACATATAAAATGATTGGGTCTAGAAAGAGATCTTGGAGTCATTGTGGATAGGTCTCTGAAAACATCCACTCAATGTGCAGTGGCAATCAAAAAGCTAACAGAATGTTGGGAATTATTAGGAAAGGGATAGATAATAAGACAGAAAATATCATATTGCCTCTATATAAATCCATGGTACGCCCAATTCTTGAATAGTGCTTGCAGATCTGGTCACCCCATCTCAAAAAAGATATATTGGAATTGGAAAAGACAGAGAAAAAGGCAACAAAAATGAGTAGGGGTATGGAACAGCTTTGGTATGAGGAGATTAATAAAACTGAGACTTTTCAGCTTGGAAAAGAGACAACTAAGAGGGGATATGATAGATGTCTATAAAATCATGACTGGTGTGGAGAAAGTAAATAAGGAAATGTTATTTACTCCTTCTTATAACACAGGAACTAGTGGTCACCAAATGAAAGTAATAGGCAGCAGGTTTAAAGCAAACAAAGGGAAACATTTCTTATGCAATGCACAGTCAGCCTGTGGCACTCTTTGTCAGAGGATGTTGTGAAGACCAAGACTATAACACGGTTTTAAAAAGAATTAGATAAGTTGATGGAGGATAAGTCCATCAATGGCTATTAGCTAGGATGGGCAGGGATGCAAAACCATGCTCTGAAGTGTCCCTAGCCTCTGTTTGCCAGAAGCTGGGAATGGGCAACAGGGGATGGATCACTTGATGATCACCCATTCTGTTCGTTCCCTCTGGGGCACCTGGCACTGGCCACTGTTGGAAGACAGGATAATGGGCTAGAGGGACCATTGGTCTGACCCATTATGGCTGTTCTTATGTTCTTAACATTTACTGATAAAAATCTAATCCTTCCAAGAATATTTGCAGCTGTTTTATCTTTCTTTAATTTACTTACTCTCTATCCTGTATTTTTGGAGTTGCAAGTACTCAGTCCCTTCCAGCTTCATGTCACTAGCTTGCTACCCCTGTCAAGAACTGGTATTTTGGCAACTTTAAATCAGACATTTGAAGAGATTATATCTAGACTTCCAGGCTGTGCTTCTTCATAAACAACTGCATTGGTGCACCCTTGGCACAGAGTCCCACTGACTTCAGTGGGGTTCCATAGGGACACAGGGGCCCATCCATACAGTTATCTTTGCAAGAACAGGGTAAGCTTATGATCGGTTTGAAACAGGTAATTTATTGCAAAGTGAGCTGTGTGGATGAACTGCTTAATTACATAGATAAAATATACCCTCAAGAGTGGAGGTATCTGGACACTGAATCTGTAATTCTACATATAAAACTATAGTATCTACGGTTTATTGCCTCACAGGACTATGGAAATATTAAACAAATCTTGTTTGCCTAATGGAAAAAAAGAGCATATGGACACAGTGAACAGCACAAAGGTGATTAATCCAACTATATCGACCCTGAATGAACAGTATTCGTTTTGCTGTAATTTTTTCTAGAGTATAGTTCTTTCATAATGCTAAGTAATAATTATATACATGTACTAGTAGTTTGGTAAGCTTTTTAATAACTTGTGTAGGAGAACTGTGCAAATAATGTACACCTGATTAGTATATTTGAAGAATATACCCAGTTTGCTGTTGGTGAACTGTCAAATAAAAGTCAATTATTCATTATGCTTATTATTACTTTACATTATTTGCCAGATACTGATGATAATTATTGATCAGGAGCTGATTTGCAAGCACTTCATTGTAACTATTTGATATTCAAAATTCAAGCTGTGTCATCGGTCACCTAGGTCACATGGTGTACTTCGGCTCCCTTATTGGATGTTGTAGCTCTTAGAAATAATTTCCCCAAATGAATGTTTATGGAAGCAAATTTAAAATTCACTTTTCTGCGAATTCTCACCCAATGTTCACTTAAAATATGCTTTTTCTGTTCCTTCCAGTAAACTTATTAGCACTGCTAGAGAACAATCCTAGGAGGCGACTACAAAAGAGTCATGGGAACACAGCTGAGTCAAATTCATTTAAGACCCTGGAATGAGTATTTGCAGGATTTTTACAGGAACATTTTTCACTCATCAGGAACATTCAGGCTTCTTATAGGTGTTTATTAGTACGCGACAAAGTGCAACTTCTAAAAAACTTATGCAACTTCTAAAAAATATCGCTTGAGTATTGTCTTTGCAAAACTACAATTAGCAGAGACCTGCAAAATTTTAATGGGCAGTTTATCTAAACGTTGCCATTTTAGCTTGAAAACAATCACAGGTGGACTTTAGTGAATCGTTTTCTTTTGTATTCGTCTGTTTCTAACAATACACGGGACTACTCCAAAGCCATTGAAGTCAGCTGCAGTCTGCACTTACGGGGGTCAGAGTCCAGTTGCCTTCTTCCCATCTTTATGGGTAAGTAAGGAACTTTTGTCGTGCTCAATATAATTTTATTTCAGGCTTTTCAACCTCTTTTCATGTGCCAGGATCCAGTGCACCGACTGACCTCTCTTTCTCTCTGATTAGCTGAGTTCCACATTTATTTCAAGCAGTCATTGAGATAGTGATTGGCATTAAAACTGTCTCTCTTACTCTTGTCTCGCTCACTAGACTCATCACAGACCCCTGTATTTATAGCCCTGACCTAGGTGCTGAAACAGCGTCTCGGCTGCTGTTCAGGGTCCTGAAAAGTTGGAGTGATAAACCAACGCGCATGAAGCGACTGACCGATTTGCAAGCATAGACTCCATTTAAACCGGAAAAGTCTCTCTCAGTGCCCGACCCGTAGCGTTTTCTAGCTACTGGGGCAGTTTCAGTTCAGTTCTCCTCTCGACCCCCCATAGCTACTCTGATGCACCTCCAGGAGTGAAATGGATGATTTCCAGGCTGTGTAACCCCACGTAATGCTACGAAGAACAGGTGTCCCCCAGTTTTCCAGGAGCATCGAAATCTGTTTGTTAACATTGCGATCGAGGGAGATTTTGGAAGCAGGGATCGCAGCAGCTGAACTTTCTTCTAGGGCAGACATATGGAGCTAGTCTTACCTCAAGCGTCGTGTCCCCGCTCCCCACCTCTGAAACGTGTTTCCTGATACCAGGGTCTCTAATTCCGGGCCGCTGAACAGACTTGTGGCTGTGTTTTCAGCGGAAGCAAATCGCATGCAAGCTCGGAGCTTTGCCTACAGTCCCAGTGAGGGAGGGGTGTAGTTCCGAGCCAGCTGCGACACCTTTGACAGGCATCTGCAGTATTTCCCCCTGATACCAGGAAAGTTTTGTCCCGCAATTTCTGTGAGACTGGAGCTGATTTCCCCCCCTCCCCCCAGGTCGCCATGGTGATACCGAGCTCCCGCTCCCTCGGATCAAGACAAAATGGGCATCACTTGGTTAGCAGCGCCCTGCTAGCAACTATTCCTCTACTGCAGCCGCTCCTGGGCAGGTCTGCGGACCGCTCTCACCGCCCGGCCGAGAGACTCCGGAAGGCAACAGTGTGACCCTACGTCACAATGCCACGCTTCCCCAGAGCCCCTCGGACCTTCTCCCCGTGCAGCCATCGCTCCATTCCCCAGGAGAGCCAATCTCCCCAGCCCCGCGCTCCCATGTGTTGCTGCGGCTGGGTACCGCTCTCCCAAGGCACCCCACGGACAGTGAGAGACATGCCTTTGCACCCAGCCAGCGGGCTCCATGGGCTGGAAACATGGAACTAAGTAGCCCTTGCCGCTAAATAACTGATTCGATCATCTCCGATACTATCAGCTCAGCTCTCCCTGCGTACAGCCCAGAACGGTCTTAGTCACATCTAGCGAACGAAGCCTTAAAAGTAAGAGCAAACATGGAACTCAATGACACACAAAAGTCTCCTTTTCACTGAGCAGCGATCTGGCTGAAATGGCACCAACTTCCAGGGATCTCCGCGTTACACGGCGTTTACTGCTTAAATATCACACCACACCTCGGGCTGCATCTCACCAAAACCACTAATGAGCGGGGTTCCCTCTCCCGAAAGCAGAAGCCCAAGCTTCACATGACTAGGACAATTGATTTCCTTAACTGCCAAAGGAAAACATTGCATTCAACGTCTGACAGCTGGTGCCTCCAGCCTTAGAAAGAGAGGCTGAACCAATCTTTAAAACCACAATTTGCTGGATCTTTCTGAATCCAGTGAGTGTTTTTCCCCCTCTCTGCGAGTTTCCAGTTGCTAATGAAAGACATATGAAATTGATCTCCCTTCTGTTATGTAACTGCCTTCTCTCCGGTCTTTCTGTACTTGGGGGTGACATTTCTCCTAGAGTAGGGAATTCAGGGACAAAAGAAAACGGCAAGAATTGGATTTCTTGCGGGAATGGACAATAGCTTGTTTCCCTTTAGCAACTCCGCCGTCTTACCTGTTTGTGGCAGGTTGTTTTCATTCAATCATGATTTTCTTTTTTGGAATGGAGCAGGATGTTGTTGGCTGATTGTTCACTCAATGATGGATTAAAAAAAAATAAGATGATGCTCAGTTTTACCTCGACCCTAAGCTGCTCTCTCGCGCCTCCATCCTCCCCGCTGCTCGCCCACCTCTTGATCCAGTTTGGCTTCCCCACATACACAGCCAGGTGCCGTATTCAAGTCCAATTCGCTCTGTGTTGCTAGGACAGAGTTAAATGAGACCTGGAGGAGATCAGACAGCAGGGGGGGTAAGACCCGGGCGGAATAAAAAAGCACAGGCAGAGAGAAAAGTGTTGGACCACGCAGGGAAACGTCATGAAATCCGCAGATTCAATGAATTCTACTCAATTTCAGGCGAGTGGCTGCTGTGCTCTCCAGTCAGAGCTGTAACAAACAAGGCAGAGGAAATAAAACTGTGCGCAGTGCCATCTGCTGGAGCAATGCTGCAGCACAAAGCAGGCGGGGGTAGGGGGTGGGTGGGTTTTAGGGGTTGCTTGCTTGCTTTCCTACCTTCTGACAGAGCAGGGAGACCAATGGAAAGTTTACTATCTATATAGAGCTTTGCAAAGCCAGCCTGGTCCCTTTCCTGCAGTATTTCTCATTGGGAGAGAAGAAAACTAGTATTCATCCTGGACAGGGAGGACTGGCCTGGGACTCTTTATTTGCAGCTGAACTTGAGAAGGAATGAAGAGGTGCTGGGAGGGAGAGAGAGCATTTGTATTGCTTTACTTTGGCCTAAGGAAATGGAAATATACAAAATAGAAAAAGGGAAGGAAGAAGGAGGAAATAGCATTCATCAGCCCTGCAGGCTGGGGAATGAGCCAGCAAGCTAAGAGGGACCTCCTTGACTCTCAACAAGATTAGGAGCTGAGTGGCAGTGCAGAAGTGGGGCAGGAGTCAGACCCAGCAGTGGCATCATCAGGCTTTCAACACTTGTCATCAGTCTGTTTTCCCCAGTTTTGACTGGCATTTCCCCCCTCTTCACCTCAGCCCTGGTCCCTCAGTCCCTCCATAGCATCCTCACTCTCCTGGCTTTCATGTACCCACTAACCCATTCTTTCTTTCTCCCCCCCCCCCACTTTTATCTCCTTATCTCCCCTTCCCCCCCCTTCTCCTCCTCAGTAATGCCCTCTTTGCCCCTTTTCCTTTTCTGTACTCCTATAAACTAATCCTTCCCCAGGCTACATATAAAGAAAAAAAACCACCAACAGATTACCTATAAAGAAATCCAACAAAGTGGAACCAACACAATATTTGCCAGTCATAACTCTGACCACTCTGCTTGTATAGTTCATCCTTTCCCCTCCATCTTTTCATTTGTCTTGTCTACATATACAGGGATAGGGACTGTCTCTTACTCTGTCTGTTCAGTGCTTGGCTGCCTGGCAGAATGGGCCCCCTAGGTGCTACTATAATATAGATAATAATCCCTGATACAATAATTCAAGAGAAGGAGGAAGGGCTCTCATGGCTGCTGACTGCTTTTTCTGAAAGTCTGATCAGTTTTCCAGTGTGTTCTTGTAAGGTTAGTTTCAGCCCCCGCCCTCAGCTGCAGAGTTCACACCTGCTCAGAAACAGTAGATCAGCAATTACCCTTCCTTTTTATGCTTCTAAAATGACAGGAACCTTTAAAACAGAGTCACTTTATTTTGTAAAATCTCTTCAGTCTCTTCATCTGCAACCCTCTCTAACCTCACCCTTCATCTTCAGACCTTCTTTATTTTCCTAATGCACTGTCTGAGATTTGTTTCTCACAAGAATTCATGTTGAAATGTATTACATCATGCTAGCCATGTAAATGACTATGTTCTAGGTTCTTAAAAAAAATCAGTAAAAGGAACCCTTCAGTGATTGTTGAAAGTGGTAATATAAGGCCTCATCCTACAAGGAGATTCATGGGAGCACTCCTGTATAGCTCAGTAATCAGTCACTTTCACATCCCTTCCAGTGAGCTAGAAGACTATCTAATGGAGTGGCAGCTACTCCACATGCTGAAGCAGGCTGCCTACGGATGCTGACCCTTCACTCATCCCCCATGCTTGCATCCTAGATGGAACTACTATAAGGTGGGTGCATAATTGGTTGGAAAACCATTCCCAGAGAGTAGTTATCAGTGGTTCACAATCAAGCTGGAAGGGCATATCGAGTGGGGTCCCGCAGGGATCGGTTCTGGGTCTGGTTCTGTTCAATGGCAGGTAATGGTTCAACTGGTAGATAATGGCATAGAGATTTGTGAACAATACCAAGCTGGGAGGGGTTGCAAGTTCTTTGGAAGATAGGATTATAATTCAAAAAGTACATACAAAATTTTTACAAGGAGGAGGGAGAAAAATTGATTTCCTTAACATCTGAGGCTAGGGGTATGTCTATACTATCCGCCGGATTGGCGGGCAGCAATCGATCCAGCGGGGGTTGATTTATCGTGTCTAGTCTAGATGCGATAAATTGACCCCTGAGTGCTCTCCCATCGACTCCTCTACTTCACCAGCACAAGAGGCACAGACGGAGTCAATGGGGGAACGGCAGCAGTCACTGTGGTGAGTAAATCTAAGTACGTCGACTTCAGCTACGTGAATAACTTAGATCGACACCCCCCCCCCCCGTGTAGACCAGGCCTAAGAGAAGAAGCAATGGGCTTAAATTGCAGCAAGGGGGGGTTAGGTTGGGCATTAGGAAAAACTTCCTAACTGTCAGAGTAGTTAAGCACTGGAATAAATTGCCTAGGGAGGTTGTGGAATCTCTGTCATTGGAGATTTTTAAGAGCAGGTTAGACAAACACCCATCAGGGATGGTCTAGGTAATACTTAGTTCTGCCATGAGTGCAGGGGGCTGGACTAGATGACCTCTCAAGGTCCCTTCCAGTCCTATGATTCTGTCTACCAGAACAGCAGGAAAAGTGGACATGGTTCAGATTTGAGAGGGGATGTCTCAGGGCTCATCCCCTCTTACTCTGTATGCTGGACACCCAAAGTGCTGCATGAGAAGACCTTTTATGTTTATTAATTGTTAAATATTTTATGAGCAGCAGCATATGGATGGTTGCATTAAATAGCTTGGAACCACAATAAAGCCAAGCAATATGCTTAGTGATAAAATGAATGGTCCTTTGTTCTTTCAAAATGGTGCTTTCTCTCTTGAGGCAGCTAAACTAAAATGGCTCTTCAACAGGTGTAAGATAATCATTTTATACTTAGCCTGACTTACCTCCTCCATCTATTTTTATGAAGCCAGCGATGTGAATTTAGCTGCAGAACCATGCAGAGCCTGTTAATGCTAGCGCTAGCACACACAGAAGTCAGTATTTACGGCTATATATTCTAAAGATCACAGGCTAATGCCTGACTAGCATATTGCTGAAGCAGCTCTCCCTTGGTAATCCAACATGGTAGTTGAGGTGAGATGGGACATCTGAGCTGGCAGTCTCTAAGTTTGTAGTGGTTGGGGCAGGTGGTCTCAGTCAAGAGCCTCAACTCTGGGACTCACTTTCCCTTTAGCTTACAGCCCGTGAATTTGCTTGACGTACACGGTAGACTCGGGCTTTTCCTGAAGGTATGGTTTATGGGAAATGTTGAGGTTTATTTCTGGTTGGGAAGTTTATTATTATTAGTTGACATGTCAGTACATTGAATTACATATGTGGTTTTGAGATTTTTCATACGTATGACTAGTGATTGCTAGTGTATTTTTACAAATGGGGGGGGGAAATGCGGAATACATTTCTACAGGTCCTGTTTCTTTTTTGCAGGCATCATTTGCACCCACATTTTTTTATCTGCAAAAACAAATCTCAGGCATATAACTGAGTTTATAACTACCTGATTTGTGCCTGCAGTCAGGTAGCTAGAGATCCAACTATGCAGATAGGCATCCACGAAAGAATGGCACTTGTTTATGCAAAATGTAGGCACAGGTTGTTCCTGTAAAAAACAGGGAGTAATCCTTCTGCAATTTGGTCCCAAATGATTCAGACCCACTGCTGAAGCCAACCAAAATAAGTTTTGATTTTTCAAATGATATAGCTAGTAGTTCGGGGGAACTGAGGCCAGAACTTCCCCCTCACAGTCTGATCCTGCAAATGAATGTGAGCAACTTTACTGATCTCAAGAGGATTTCTTACATACACAAAGTTACTCACACATATATGTAAGTGTTTTCAGGGTCAGGCCACTAGGTACTTAGTGCCACCCACCCTTCACCTACACTCTACTGGGCAATATAATGAACTAGTCATGCAATATGGTATATATGGACTTACTTGATCTCTAAAAAATCCCTGCAAGTGCAATTCAATGCATTGGAAACAGCTTTGCATGTTTAAAGTCTGCTTACCTGAGCCAGTGTTCATTTGCCTTCAAAACAAATCAGGGTCCAGACAGTTCGGGGAATACCAGAGGGTCTGAATCCCAAGAATAAGCAACTGAATCAACTTATTGTATCCAATATTACTGTATTATAAAAGTGCACCAAGAAAGGTCTCTTATGAAAGCTGGTGACACACAGGTGATTAATACCACTGTGCAATATATGTGTTCACACTCTATGAGGAATTATGAATACTCACTGATAGTATGCTTTAAAGTCTGTGACCAATCAAAAGGAGAAACAGGTTTTCTCCCAGACAGGAGGGAAGGAAGTTATCTACCTATCTCTAGTGTAAATTAAGCATTATGGAATCAAAACAACAGAAGCCCCTTTACATATGAATGAGCAGGGGGTTGGGAAGTCAACAAGAAGGAAAGGATAATACGAAGCCTTCCTGCCTCTTGCAAAAGGGTCAATGAACTTTGGGAGATATAAACAGAAACACAGAGCCATTTTGGTATCCTTCCCCTGAGGAGACAAAGAAACCGAGCACTTTAGGTTCTGTGTTGGATCTTAGCTAAAGGCTGGCCAGCCATGCTGGAAGAATGACTGCTGAGAAAACTACTTTGAACAAAATACTCTAGTTTGTTAAGTTAGACTAGAGTCTTAGAAGCATATTTTTATTTTTATTTGTAATCGTTCCTATCCCTATTCCTTCTACTTGGTATCACTTAAATCAATGTTCTTTTGTTAGTAAACTCGTTTTACTTTTACGGTGCTGGATATTGAAGTGCAAGGTGTGTTAACTCCAGTTAAGCTAACACTTCTGTATATTGTCTTTTTAAAGGGGCAGCGAACTTGATAAGGTGTGAGTGTTTCAGTGATAGGGGCTGAACACTGCAGAGAAATGCTTTTGCGGACAGCTTGGGTCTGGAAGGGTTGTTGAAGTCCCCCTACAAAGAGTAACTGGGCATTAGAAGCCAGGGGGAGACTTTCTTGCTTGTATGCTCAGTGTTGGAGTCAAGGCTGTGAGTCTCAGCAGCATAGCATTTAAGGCACCCAGAGTTGCAAGGCTAGTGTTGACTGAATC